CTGTTGCTATTCAGCTGTGCTTCTGTCTTACAGGTGCAGGCATTACTGGAAGTACTCAAACATTTTAACAGTGTATGCTTGCACCAGAAAGTAGGGTTTGCCTCACTGAAGTCACTGAGAGAAGTGGACTTAACAGGCAGAAGAAGCTTTTTAGTTGTTTATTATTTTGCTTTACACTGTATGTGGACATGGATGTGAATGCTACTCAGCAGCATATATGTGTATGGACATTGAGAATGGATACATTTGAATCTCAGGAAAAACTGTCTTCACAGGATTCCCCCAGTTTAGTGCTGCAGATTTGTATATTCTCAAAAATACTTCACAGTCCATTAATTCACATATAATAAGAAATTTTATTAAGAAATATAAGTTACATTTATCTGATATAATGAGCAAAAGGCTGTCTTGTTCTGTTTTTCTGTTTGCCCACACTGCTCTGCTGTAAAGCTTCTCATGCATGTCTGCTGACAAGGCTCTGTATTATATTACAGGCTGAGATTTAGGAGAAGCTCAATGCTGAAGGAGCGTGGTGCAATTTTTTTGCTGCAGCGCTTGTGTGAAACTTCTCTTTTGCTTACAGTAGATAGTTTTAATGGATCGATAGTGTTACATTATTAAGAGAAAGTGTTTTATGGAATAAGTTTAAAACAGGAATGGACAAATCATTTCAAACTTTGGAGCTTGGGCTTGGTCTCTTTTTCTTCTGTATTACTGCAGCCATCAAACATTTGCAGCATTCTTGTACCAGGTCATTCTCAGACAGCCCATATATTTGATTTCTCTCATTTTATTTTCTCTCTTTTTCACAAGGTGCCAGTGTTGCCTTCACCACGTCCTCTTTCTCCCTCCAGTGAAATAGAAAAGCTGCAACTTTGGCAGTGGTGGAGGCTGGTAGTCTGCTGCCCAGGGTGCATGCTGCCTTTTCTGTGGGTTCTCTCCAGTGTTTGTGTAGGGAGCTGAGCAGGAGCACACTGCATGTTTTCTCCCATAAACAATAGCTTGAGCCTACTTAAAAGCTGCTGTGTTTTTTACTTTCCATCCTCTTTGCCATCTGTCCATAGGCCTTAGCATGTGGTCTGTTAGGATTTGCTTGTAAAGGTTTTATTAAGATTTATTTAATGGGATTTTCAGTCTTCCACTCTTCAATCCACATTGGAAAAAAATATTAAACAGTGACAATCCATAGCTGCCCTGTGAGTAAATCACATTCACTTAACCCAGCAAAGAATGATTTCTTTCTGTCTCACAAGAGCTTAGTAGCTGCTGTGTTTATTCTCTTGCTGTGGTTAAAATTGCCACAGTAAAGGGGGAAAAGAAAAGAAAAACAGTTAATGCAGTTGTTTGTGTGGCTTGCCCTAGATATTATCTTTATCATTTTTTAATCATACTTTTTATTCCTTTCTAATGAGAAGAAGCTGCTGTGAAAGCAAGAAAAGACTGAAAACAAATAATACAGCTACAGAAAAAATGAATTCTTTTCATGTGGTGTAAGTCAAGGGAAAAGCCTCACTCACTGTGCTCTGGCTTCTTGACACTCCAGGTGTGATCAGAGATGACTTACCATCCATAGCAGGGTGGGAAACAAGTTAATTAAAATTTTCCACCTTCACACTGAATGAAACATCTCCCAGTTTGAGACACATTATGTGAACGCTCTTGTTCACCAGAGCTCTGGCATGTACTTTCTCTTCCTATTGGTTCTCAAATTCAGATCTGTTAGCTAGAAAGAGCATTGGAATTTTCTCTTGAGAAATTGAAATTATATTTCCATTGTTGCAAATAAAAGTAAATCTTAAAATAACGTTATTGCTCATAAAATATAAAATAAATATGAAATTCTGCTTTTTCTCTGTACCCAGCCACCAGTGTATTGTTTATTTGGATGCGTTTTTGTCTAGGGAAGGATTTTAGGTGACACTGATTCTTTGTGCTCTCTCCTAAAGACCTGTATGACTGTGGCTTCTGCTTGTGGCCAGTTTCCAGTCCTGGGATAGGACTGCAGGTGATGATTGAGGAGAGGGAGGATATTTCGTTTATGTGGTGTTAAGGCTGCTATTATCTGTATTTGCAAATGGGGAGCTAGCAGCCCATATGAATTCTGCATGTTGATTCAGGAGAGCGTCCTTTCTCTTGTCTGTTGCCTTTCAACAACCAGTTGCTGGCATTTATTCCCCTGAGGAGCTGTGTGGTGCCCAATGGTACCAAGGTCTTGCTCAGAGCAGTTGGAGCTGGGAGAGGTGTGCCTTGAGGTATGTTCCCTTCCTGGTCTGAAGAAGGAACTGAAGAAGCCCAGTCTGATTTCTGGGATTGTTTAGTCTGGAGAAGAGTAGGCTCAGGGAAGACCTTATTGCTCTTGACAATTACCTGAAAGGAGATTGTAGCAAGGTGGGGGTCAGCCTCTTCTCCTGGATAACCAGTGATAGGATGAGAGATGATGGCCTTAAGTTGTACCAGAGAAGGTTCAGATTGGATATTAGGAAGAATTTCTTCTCAGAAGGAGTGGTGCATTGGCACAGGCTGCCCAGGGAGGTGGTAGAGTCACTGTCCCTGGAGGTGTTCAAGAACCGTGGGGATGTGGCACTGAGGGACAAAGTTAGTGGGCATGGAGGGGCTGGGTTGGTGGTTGGACTCGATGGTCTTGGTGGTGTTTTCCAACCCTAATAGTTTGATGATTCTGTGATCTATGACATGCAGGTTCTGCTGTCAGCACCAGCCTGTGCAAGAATGAATAGATACCTTCTAACAATGACACAGTACTCTTTCAACAGATCTTTTAGGTTTTCCAGACTTTCTTTTTCTTTTCTTGAAGTTTAACTGACGTTAAACTTAAATCTAATTTCCGGTAATTTTACACTTTTGAGTGTGATTTATCCTCTCTTTCTGCTTCTGCTGCTTGGGGATTAAGGAGCACAGCATCTTCTCTGCAGGTGGTGCTTAACTCTGACAGGTCAGATGGGTCCCGGCCTCCTTTTGCCTTGTGGGGACAGGACTGTGACAGTGGGGGCAGTGCAGCCTCACACTCCAGGTTCTGCAGCAGCCAGGCAAGCTGTGCTCTGTGTGTTACCAATGTCCCTCCTCATTGCTGTCATCCTGTTGATTTTTGACATGTCTGTGTGTGTGTCCTTATGCAAGGAGAAAGGTCTCCTCAGTGTTCTCTGACCTTAGGCAATGAATTCAAAATAGGAATGCTGTTTGTAGCATGGGAGGTTGCTTGGGACTCAAACAAGGTCTGCTGCACCGGTGTTTCCTGACCCACTCACTGGTCTAATGCTTTCCACATGAGTGATCTCCCTCTGGTTTGTCATCTACAAATGCCTTGAGAGAGGGAATGTTTTGGCCAGATCTTGTGTCCCTCCTGGTGTCTGGAGGAGGGCTGGCAGTGATGATGTGCTGATCTCGTTCCTGGTGCTTGTGTTTTCATCATTTTTGGAAAACATTGTTGACCTGCCTGATGAAGCTCAGTGTGTGATTGATCTCTTTCCTTGAGAGGTTAGATGCTAAAGGCATCTGGACATGTCATCCTTTCTGTATTACTCTTGCAAACACTATTTTGAAAACTTGGAAGCGGCAGGAGGCGCTCATCTTGCAGTGGGGGCAGAGAGTGGGAAGGGCAAGGAGGAGAACGGGAGTGTAGGGAGGCACCAAACTGCCCTCAGTCGCAGCTGGGGATCAGTCCTGATTGCTTTGGGGGAAATCAGTAATTAGCAATTCTGTGTGTATTCCAGATACATGCTGGTGCTGCAAAGCAGCTGTGTGTGTAAAAAGGCCCTGAAAGTCTCTGTACAGAAATCAGAGCAGCATGAGCCAAGTGTTCTCTTACAGCTACTTTCTAGTGCAGAATTTTCAAATACTCTCTTTTTTAAGCAGGAGTGATAGAGCTTCTTGGGCTATTTGCAGTCAAGATGAGATTTGAATAGGCAGAGTCAGGCAGTCATTCAGTTATGAAGATATCAAGTGACCTTTATTACAGTCATTAGAAGAAAGGAGTAGTTGAAGTTGGAAATCACTAAGGTAATTTGAAGTACTGCAGGAGGATTTGGATTAGTTCTGACCAGATGACTATTATTACAGAATAAATGGACTTTTTGGAGCAGGCCTGAGGAAAATAGAGAAAATTATTTTGCTGAGAATTGGTGATTAAAACTACTAGCGTGCACATTAAACCAATCTAAGTGTCTGAGCTTTCTGGCAGATCTGATTGTTATTCCAATGGAATACAGCTATATTTGTAGAGGCTAGTAGTTATCATTTCTTGTTTTGTATTTATTAAGATGAAAAACAAGTAAATATGCTCTACCATCTATTCTTAAGTTAGTGGAAGTCTTGGCAGTGGGACACTGGGGCAGTCTTTGCTGAAATCACCAGTAGTTCTTTATGTGTGAATTACAGGTTTTGCCATCTATTGGAAAGAGCATTAGCAAGGCTGTCTTGTGTATATCTGAAAGGCGGCGTTTTTGGTCTTGCCCACAGATCTTCTGATTCAAAACAAGGAGGCAGTGTGTATTCATGAGTATCTCTGTGATTCTGTAATACAAGGAACAGACTTGTACTTAGGTTTTTTTTCTGTTGTTGCCCATTTTGCTCTTGATCCATCGCTGTAGAGCTGCTCAGTTGGTTTGGTGCAGCCTAAATAAGTGCAGAATCTGGGCAAAGCATTGTTGTCATGTTGTCAGTGTTTGTTTGGAAGAGGATACTTGATAAAATGCAATGAGTTTGTCCTGTTCAGATCTGGAATCGTTTGAAGCATGGGTGGTTTAGGCAGTATAAAAAAATCAACAACTACAAAATCTCAGGTGTTTATCATTCTAAGCAAAGTCATTTAACAGGTTAGGATGAACTGGTGGTCATTCCTGCACCTCATGTTTTCCTTGGCCAGCTGGACATACAGAATGATTCACTTCACCACAAAAACCCTCTCCTCCTTCCAGAAAAGCTGTAAGTCAAAATGAATGTCACGCTGCAAGAGCTGATGCTGACTGCTGATTTTTCTCTCCTAGGGAGTGGAAGTGCAGACAGATTATGTTCCACTGCTGAATTCCCTTGCCATGTACGGCTGGCAGCTGACGTGCGTCCTTCCTACTCCGATTGTGAAGACAAACAGGTAGGGAGGGTGAGCACTGCTTTTCAGCCACTGTCTGTGCACCACAAGCAATTCTCTGCACAGTTAGCATAGATTTTCTTGCCCATGTTCAGTGCGTTTGCAAACCCTCCTGCAGCTGTTCTCTGGGTTTTCTGAGTACCACAAGCCACGTTAGACAGGAAGCATGTGTCTGGTGGGCGAAAGAATGCGAAATGGCTCTGTGGTTTCTGCATGTATTTTCTGATTATCATCTCTGTCTTTGTGTTAAAAATAAATAAATAAATGCCTGCTCTGGTTCTCTCACTTAGTAGCTCCACTTGGAGCAAAAGCAAAACCCATGATAATATTTGGAGTGAGATGTTGCCCATTTGAAGCAAATTAACTTCATTCTTAATTACTGTCTGTCTGACGCTGATGGTACACACAGTCTAGCTGAGCAGAACCATATCCAATTATTGTGTCATTACTCTGGTAGCCTTGTTTGCATATGTAGTCATTGTGTGGGGTATGCTTTGCTATTATTAATGTTCAGAGATTTTAGACATAAATGCGTGTCACTTAAAAATGCTCTTTCTAATGGTGGTGAAAAAACAGTCATCCCACTTGCTTATCATGAAGGTGGAGCATTCTGAATTTATGCTTGTCAAGAATATATTTATATATAAAGCAGTGTAATTAGTCATGAATTTTAGTTTTAGCTGAAGAAAGGGAAAATATGCCCAGCTCCTTTAGAGAGCTAGATGAAGACTTCCTACACATAAAAGCCTAAAAAGTAAAGGCCATCTGTGTCAGTATATTAAAGCCTTTCATGTACATTTAAATATAGGAACAAATGGAAAATCGTAATTATGATATGTAAGCCTTGTTCTTTAAGGGTGTGTATATAGATATTGTTTTCTCTTCTGGTTTTCTGTATTCCTTTTATAACTCCAGTAACACAAGGCCAGGATGGCAGTGCAGAAAGGCACCCAATCCAACTGCTACTGGCATTTGCTTGTGCTTCCTGCCTCACTGCATACCTGTGGGGCACACACAGCCATCAGGGCTATGCACATGCACCATAGAATTCTTGCTTTTTGTTCAAAACAATTTCTTTTTACACTCTAATTCTAAAACATTCAGCTAAAGCATGTCACAGTAACAGTCTCTATCAGGGTAATCAGTTGATCATTTTTCCCCCAAAATGCCAGGATGCTTAGAGACACTGGGGTCAAGCAATGTTTAGGTCATTCTTCATTTTGTTCTTCTTTGACCTGCAGAAATAAATGACCAAGATGGATTTTTGCTTTGAGTGATGCTGCATGTGAATTTAATTCATTCTCAGGAGTGTGCATTTGTTTCTTTTCAGGGAAGGGAATTTATCTACAAAGCAAATTGTATTTCTTCAGAGACCTTCTTTGCCCCAGAAAGCAAAGAAAAAAGAATCTAAGGTAAATAAACCCATGTTCCTTTTTTTTTTTTTTTTTTTTTTTTTTTTTGTTTTTTTTTTTTGGCAAAATTTTAATATTGCAATTGATTTCCCAAAGAAGTAAACGTGGCTTATTGAATGTCTCTGTCATAAAGTGGCCTGGTAAATGAAACAAGACACAAGGAGTTGAACTGTTCGAACGAAAGAAGATGCTCAGATGTCAGAGCTCTTCTGCTGGACTCATGGCAGCAGAAGAAGTGTAGAATTATCTTTACAGCTTTGCCATAAACCTGCACATGCGACCTAAAAATCTCTGCCCACATTCACTGTCTGCAAAGAGAAACTGCTACTCATTGTTGTCTCTTACCTTGTTTCTATCTAGTGCTGGAATGCTAATAAATTCTGCTAGAATTTAAGCATAAAGCCCCCTGAATCCAGCTATATTATCTGAGAACACAGCTGACAGCTAATAATGCACGTATGTGGATACATGTTCCCATTTCCCTTTTTAAAAGCATAACAGTGGAAACCCCCATCCAGCTGTGTCATGCTGTACTGCTGAAGGGGAAATACTGGCACTGGGCAAGTGGCTGACCTTCCTCTTGTGTAGGAATTTGCCTTGCCCTTTCTGTGTGTAAGGGAAGCATCAGCAAGGGTGATGGGTGAAGTACTGAAAATCTCCCTGAGACCACGTGATGAGAAAGTTGCTCATACAGCCTCATTTTTATTCTGTTTTACTCTTTGCGATTGCTGGGTGCTGGCTGGCCTAATGTCATCAGCAGGACTGCTGTGCTCACAGCTGAGCTACAGTAGGATGTGGGAAATGCTAAGTAGAGCTGAGCACTGGGAACATTGTAGCTAGTGTTTAGGGAACTGCAGATCTAGAAAGCCCTCACTGGATTGGAGCCGGCTTTGTGAGAGTCACCTTTTAAATACAGCAGAGAACAGGAAGGAGTTTGAGCTGACCAAAGCAGGAGAAAGCTGCTGGGAGCACGTCTGTTGTTTAGGATTTACCCTTTCTTATTAGTGAAGCCAGAGCCTAGTTATTCTGTGATGGTGCTACAAAGCCCTTCTTTCTTATTCCTTCTCTTTGTTTTCAAGTGATTAAAGTCGGGGTGATGTGCCCACATTCAGTTATTTTTTTGGTGGGTGACTGTAAGCAATTGTATGTCTTCAAACAGAGAAGCAGTATGATACTGATTCCTTGTACTGTAATAACAAATGCATACCATGCAGATGACTCAATGATTTGTTTACATTTTTTTCATCTGGGGATAAAAAAACTTATTTAACAATGTCTGGTTGACAAAACAAAGGGTTTACTTGTTGGCAATGTTAAATATACAGACATACTCAGGGCAAAAATTACTAATGCATTTTCAGACCGAAGGCCAAGAAAAATGGGGTGCATTGGTTATGATCATATAGACATCTGTAAGACTCGCTCAGCCTCTCTGAACAGCTGTTGGGAGCCACTTCGAAGCTGCTGAACCTAGCATTTGGTGGAGCTGCTGAACGCTCTGCCACCCAACATCACAGACTTGCTGGGGGTTTTTAACTTAGGATATGGCATGTCTGAAGTGTTTGTAGGTGGCTGCTACTTGGAAGGATATCTGCTGATTAGGTAGAAGGACACTGCAGTGCTGGAAGCTGGTCCGTCCCATCTGTGCTCACCAGCTGGGTGATGCTCAGTTTAACTTGAACAGAAAAGGAAGCAGGCAAGAAGTGGTCAAACTTCAGTAAGACAGTGCAAAATTGAGTCAGTGACGATCAAGTTCATTCACTTCATACAAAAGTGGTGCTCATTTCAGCAGAAACTGGCTGTGTACCTTTTTCTGAAATATAATATATATATACCTGAGTAGACATGCATACATATGCACCTGTGCCTGTGCAGGTATGCAGAGTCTCCTGCAAATTCAGGACAAACTATATTGTGTTCAGGGCCCCGATCTTGCTTCTGTCCAAGAGAGCGCCGGGTTAGAAAGGAGCTGTGAGTGTGCAGCCCTGCTGCAAATCAAAGAGAAAATCGGGTGCCTGTGAGAACTGTGAACAGTTGAGCTCTAAAACTGAAATGTTATCTTTCATTTAAATACCATTACAGTTTAGACAAGGGAAGGAAAGCCTCCCCTGCAAAAAAAACAGTAAGTTTTGAATCAGTTTTTGCTTAAGGAATAAATAGCTAAATCAAAGATTTATGAATGTGACTCTGTGTCTTAACTGACTTTGACACAGCCATGGTCACAGTGGAAAAAATGGCTTTTGTATTTATGGCACACGAGAAGTAGTGAGCACTGCCTGCTAGCCCATCCCCAAGTCTGCACCATCCTGGATCCTTCTGTGGTACATCCATGCACTCAGGGAGCTGCTGTGGGTTGACTCAGCACTGCTGTGGGACCAGATCTGACGTTCCTTGGGACGCTCAGCTTATTTTTGATGAATGAAGACGTATATTAATGGTATAGTTGTCAGACCCTGTGTATGTGACACCTGTCCAGTCAGTATTTCAAGATATTGCCAGTTCTCTCTTTTTTTTTTTTTTAAATAGTGGTCAAAGCAGTTCTTTTGAAATGGTAGCTGTGGCAAGTCTTGTGGCGAGAGCTGTATTGAGGCAGCTTCATGTGCTCTCATCACAAAGCCTTCATACTGTTGTACAATTTAGGGTTTGGGGTATGGTGTTAGTTCTGCTGCTAGCCTGGTCGAAAAAAAAATTGGTAGTGCCACATGATTGCTTCCTCTGTCAGCGCTTGTGCAGCTCTCTGGTTGTGCTTTCCACACAGTGCATGCTGTCTGCCAGGCTGCTGTGTGCCTCAGTGGGGAAATGTTGTCTTGAAGGGAGCCCAGCAGGCACGTTACACAGCAGAAGCAGAGCACGTAACTCTCTCCTGTCTGTGTCTCACAGATACACCTGTGCAGGCTCCAGTGATCTTGAAGCCGTCTGATTTAGTCATGCAGTTTCTTCATCTCATGTCTTTTTGACCAAAACTAGCCTTGAATAAAAACCAAGTGAAAAATATTTCTTGTCAGGAAAGCAGATGTTGGCTTGAGACTGTTACAGGTGGGCTTTAATGTCTGGGTCTTTTATTTGTAGTTTCACTGGAGGTTCTCCAAAGAAGACGTGCACAACAAACCAATGAAGAAATCGAGGAAGACTAAATTAGGTTCTGGGGAGAAGCAGACGGCAGAGAAGCCGGAATTTGAAGTCACAGAGAACACGAGAAACTTAGCAGCACAGCTGTCGGCCGCATCAGGGCCTGGCCCTGAGCAGCAGCTGGACGGCGTCATAGACTTGGGGAATGAAACGGCTGGGGCTGACAGCAGAGGCACCCTCCGTGACGGGGTGTCAGAGGGCACGTGTCCTGCCAGTGCTGAGGCTGGTGACACCGGTGGCAGCAAGGCGCAGACCTGTCCCGACCAGAGCAAACCCGACTGCTGCGAGGAGCAGGAGGCAGCGGGGCAGGACTGCACACCCGGGCCTGATGGCTGCCAGGGGATTGGCGGTGCAGCAGTGGACGCGGAGCCTTCTTGTGAGTAAGGCCAATGGCTCAGGGGTTCTGTGAGTTGTTGTATTAGCCAAGAGAAAAGAACAGATCTCGCTCATCATCTTCACTAACTCCATTGCTCAGTTCAGCGTTTCTTTGGTATTGCACTTACTTTGCTCCTTAGCATGCCAGTATCTTGATGTTTTAGGTAAGTACAGGGCCTAGGCTTTCTAATGGCAAAATTCCGTTCACTCTGCAGAGTAGGAAAGGCCATCTTCTAGAGGTACAATTGAAATTAAAAATAGGGACAGAAAACAGGCTTGAGCTTTTCTGTGACTGACATGGCACAGTAGGTTTGTATCTAGTGCGGGGCAAACATTCCACTTGGTCAGAATTTATTGTCATGTTTTCTTGTCCATGTATCTTCGCTGGAGAAGTTCTCATGCCGTATGCTAGTTTGTCATTAAGCTTGTAGTGTCATGAAAATGGTTTTTGAGCTTAAGCAGGCAGAAATCTGAAAGCTTAGGTAAGACGGCCATATCTATATTTGTCTCCAACAGCAGAGTTACCAATGACATTTTCTCCTGAATTTTATTAACTCTTGCAGATCTTCAAGCAATAAGCAAATCATAAACCTGCTTTAGGCATACTGAGTAAACAAAAACTCATGATAAATTTGTGTAAGGCAGATGATCTCAATATAAAATGACATTTCCTATTCTGTTAAGCTTATGTTCTCTTTGCCAATTGATGGTTCACTGGGGTTTCAGAAGATAGGGAAAACAGAGGACAAATTAAGGCAGGTAAGATGTGCTTCTTTTGGTTGCTCTCTTCACTAAGATTGGAATTTGATGTCACCATCTGACCTGCTCACGTCGTTTTGCACCACTTCCTCATTGTTGTAAAATATGCTGTGGGAAAGAACTGATGCAAATAGCAGGGTAGCGGCCTTCGCGTGTTACTGAATGATATTACAGAGTACAAATACCTTAGAGAGCTTTTTAAAAGAAGTAGTGGTGTTTTGGGATTGATACCTCTCAGAATTCTGTTACGCTACCAACATTTTTTGTTTGGGGGAGCTACGTTAAAATATTTACAAGTGAATGTACATGTGTAATATATTCTTCAAGAACTTCAGTGTTCCTAAAAGGTAGGAAGTAGTTGTTACTCTCTTCTTTACCACCTTGGTCCCTGTTTAGAAGTGGTCAAGTAAGCTGGCAGAAGGGTGAGAAATACGTTTGGAACTTCCCTGGTTTTTTTTTGTTCTTTTTTTTTTAACAAGAGCTCAGTTGGCCATTTGTGAGCTTTGTCCCTCAACTAGTTTGTGCCCAATAATTTTCCTGTCTTTAAACCAAAATGCTGTAGAGTGAAAGAACTGTGTCCTGCATCAAATGCACACCTGGCATGGTTAAAAGCGTCTTCTGTGCCTGAAAATCACACAGCTTGCAGACCACTGCAGAGAAGGGAAAAATCATAGCATTTGGAGAATTCATTTATCGGACGATGGCACTCAAGTTGAAACCATTCCATTTCATACACACAAGGCACGGGAGGATTTTTTTTCGCTGACTGAAGAGTATTCATTTTGAATTTGGTGGGTTAACCACAGGACTGTAAGTAACTGGTGATATTTTTCAATTATTTCACTCTGTTTCTCCATAGTAGGCTGAAGTTCCAATAACCTCAAAAATGTGTTATTTCAGTTGTTCCACATACAGACAAGGTCTCTGCTCTGGACAGTTCTAAGTAGCTGTTTGCAACTTTTATTAGCATAAGATATTTCTACTGATGGTTTCTGTCTTAAGGACTAGCTTTATATTAATCTTGTTTAAAAATGTATGGTATTTAATGAACATTTTACTAGTAAAAATGTTGCAATAGATTGAACTTGCCAAATACTTTTGAATAGAAAGTGTCTATCGGATTGCAATTTGACCTTGTTTGCATCCCAACTGCTTACAAAACAAGAGAAATAAAGTTCATGAGGAGGTTTCCTATTTGTGGTAATTGCACAGCTGCTAATTATTTGTCCCCAAAAGGAGGAACTCAGGGTCTCTACGCGGTAAAGAAATGAAGCTGCTGATGACTGCCTTAGCACGTGTTGCTGAGTGCTGCAGAGCGGGCTGCTTGGTTGTCTGTCAGCAGTCTGGCAGAGCGTGAGGAAGCTCTGCTCTAAGTGAAAGCCTGGAACAGAAATTCATTCCTGTAGCTGCTCCAGCGGCTTGAGGTTGGGAAGACTTGACAAGAAATACATGTTTTTCAGTTTAAAAAGGGCAAACGGTTCAAATGGTCATGTAATTACTTCCAGCCTGGGACTCTGACTTGTTCTCAGTCAGTTCAGCAGTCTGGAGCTGTGTGCTCACCATCCCCACGCCCCTGTCTTGAGAAGCGTGAGCTTCCATCACTGTGCAGACACGACACAGATGTGAGGAGTGCTGGCAAAGGCAGCCTGTGGCCACAGCAGGAAGGCTTTGCATCTGCTGCATGTGTTTTCTACCTCATCTTACCAGCCACTTCAGGCTTGAAAAAGCAAGACCACAGTGGTCAAGGAAATGAAAGTAATCAGTCGTCACTGTATTTGAAGCCTGAATAGAGGAGGATGGCCAGGCCGAGGCTTAACTCCCTGAGCAGTGAGGGGCAGTATCCCAGCAGTGGGGAGAAACTGAAGGAGCTCAGAGCAGCCACAGCTCTGCAACAGTTTGTCACCCCCAGGTGAAGGAAGAGAATGAGGCCAGGTTCTTTCCTCTCTGTGGAGAGCTGCTGTGTTAAGCTCAACCTGGCAGAATCTCCCAGTGGAATGCAAACTGCTCTTGCTGTGTGCCTCTCTTGGAAGGGGACAGCAGCATGCATTGCTGCACACCTCAGCGAGGAGCTGTGTTAAGGGGTGTTGCAGGTGTTGACTGGTGACTGAAGCACTGCAGCACAGGCAGACAGCACTGCACTGAGCTTACCATAAGCACTGCCCTTCTTAGAGCAGCCCGACTCATGGTGTCAGCCAGGCACAAGAGCTGCCTCTGAAGGATGAGCACGTGTGTTACTGACAAGAGTTATGCAGCCTGCTGCTGAGGGCAAGTGGTCATCTGAAGGAGGCAATCATAAGATGGTATGAGTTTGAAGAAAGGAACCAGCTCAGCCAACTAGGGAATACAAAGGTTGAATGTGGATGAAGAAGAGGATGGAATGATGGAAAAGAGATTTCATATTGAAACCCTCAGCAGGAGGTGATGACAGGGAGGTTGAACCAAGGTGGGATGAAAGTCCAAAATGTTCGGGCATCCTCGTAGATTGTGAACTTGTAACACAGGCTAAATGCACCAAAGATGTGCCTGGCACTTCATCTTGCAGAGCTTCTTTAATTTGTGCTGTGCACTGCAAAACAAAACCACTGAAATAATAGTGCAGAGTTGCTTTAACATATGCATGGAAATGAAGCTGTGTAGAAAGTAACACTGTCATGAATTCTTCTTTTCCTAATTTGGCCCCTGTATCAGCCTCAGTTTCTGCAGTGAGCAGTTGGTACTGTGCTTTCTCTTTGTAGTTCCCGTGACTCTGTACATTTGCCTCAGGGAGCCAATTATAGGGCAGAAATAAAGCACTATCACATTTTCATGCAGGATTTTCATTATCCTGTAACTTAAAAGCATAAAAAGAGCCAGGTGCTAATTTCTTGCTGAAAAACATTCCACAAAGGTACGAGGAGTGCTGGTCACCACTACAGTTCGCCTGTGGAGCTGAGCCGTGTCCCACACTGGCAGCAGGGATGTGCTTCTGGAGTTAAAGGCTGTCCTGACACAGGACTCAGCAGAACGGGGCTGCAGAGCTGTGGGTGGTGGCTGCTGCTCACCATTCCCTCACCAAACGCTGGAGGGCTGCAGAAAAGGCTTTTCCCTCAAAGCACTTTCTTTCATTTGCTCTAAAAGCACTCTACGACCTAAAGCACTGTAATAACTGAATAGTCACTGTTTTCCAGTTAATGAATGCAGATCCTACAGGAATACCTCATATCCGTTGTACACAATGAGCAAACAGTAAACTGATAAAACATCACAGGAGGAGGAAAAACATGCAGTCTAGTGAGGCTGTAGCACAGGTGACTCCCAGGCCAGTGTTTCTTGGAAAATAAGTAAATATTGGTCTACTTTTTCATCTTTCCTTAGTTGGTGCCAAGCATATAAGATGAATAAATATTTCCTAAAATTAAATGCTATGCTTTGACAGTGTGAAGAGAATGTTTCTCCAGCTCAGCAGCTTCTGAGCAGCAGGGGTTGGTTTCTGTTTCCTTCAACAGCATCCCAGTCAGTTAATTATTTGTACAGCCTATGTTTATATAGGTTAATTTACTTTCCTGCTTTTTTTGCTTTCAGTTACAGTGGAGTGAGATCCAAGGAGAGACTTGAAGGTGAAACTGAAGTTTCACTACAAGACCATTAAATTCTAGAAAGAAGATGCTTCCAAAGTATTCTTGTATATCAACAAGAAAAGGCTGTGCAGTTAGGGGAAGTTAATATTTACAGCCACTCTGCATTATGGAATTCAGGTATTCTGTGCCTTGTGGCAGCATAACCACTCAAGGTAAGAAAGAACTCATTAACAGCAACCGAGGTGAATGGTGTGGGGTGACTTATTTTTCATTTTTCCATCTTTTGCTGCTGTGGTGAGCATGGGTGTGGGTGGACAGGGGAGTTCGTAATATCCTTGTACAAGTGGGTGAAACTGTGCAGTTAAAGAGATGTGTCCTTGCCCCATAGCTCTCAGTCTGAGTGTAACAAGGGATGACAGAAAGAGGTTAGAGGCAATGAAGATGATTACAGAAGCAAAGGGTTTAGAAATGCCTTTTGTTACATCTATATTTTGGTATAACTCTGAGGAGCGGTTTGTGAAAGAGATGCAATTTGTGCTAAAGAAAGCATGTGCATTAAGGAAAATAAATGGCAAACCACTTTATAATACACTTAGTAGTTTAAAAATCGTAAGGAAAACAACATGCAAAGGCTTACCACAATTTTCTTACCATTACATTGTAAAACACAGAGGAACACAGTCTGGTTTTTATTTTAGGGCACCAGCACTTACCCATAGCCCAATTTGTTGCACTTTTCCAAGAAAAGAACCCTGCTTCCTTCAAACATCAAGCTCTGACCCGTCAGTCACGATCTTCATGAAGACAAAACCCCCTGGTTTTATTGTTCATGACAAGCACACTGTCCTATTTACATTCTGGAGTGAATGAACAAGGAACTGTTCGTTGCAGTAGGGTATTCAGGCACTTTCCCCTCATTTCAGTCAGAGAGAATGTGATGCGACGTTCCCTCTGGGCCTGCAGTGACTGATGGGGGACAAGCAGTTGCACCACGTGGGCAGTGTTGTATAGTACAGGAGCACCAGACCCACTGTACAGGGCTGCCATTGCCAGGAGATGAAGACTTACAGGCAGACCCTCAATGTGGTGCCGTCCCCTGAAAGCCTGAGACAAATCTTTAAGATCCATAATTCACCAGTTACCTCTTTGGGACGGAACATAGAGCCTTGTTTTCTTAAGTTCTGTTTGTTCTGAGCTGCAGGAAGAACAGAGTTCCCCCTCTGACACTCAGTGTGCTGAAAACCTCCAGGACTATTTCAGCCAGTCATCTGCAACTTCTGCACCAACTGCCACGCATTCCGATCCTCTTCTTATGCTGCACTCAAAGCTGGGGCCAGGAGGTGCCTAGTTTGTCTCACTGTGCTTGTAGGCACAGGTGAATGCAGGTGTGGCATCAGAAACCTACAGGCTGTGTATCCTACAATCTCTGAAACTGATAGAAAAGGTTTGGAGTGGCAAGGTTCAGCACGAGCTAAAAGCAAAGTGGAGGGATGCTGAAGGGAGAAAAGTTGCCATGTTACCTGCTGGAGGGCCATCATTTAACTCAAGGAAAAAAGCCACCAACAAAGAAGAGACTATATCTAACATTCAAAAATAATATTATATTATTTAGTGTTTTCATTAATTTAGGCATTCCTTTTTTGAAGTCTTCAGGTATAAACTGGGAATCTACCCACTTACGGACCTGAACTATTTTGATGATTAACTAATTCTCTCACCATGCCTTTCTTTCTAATTATTTTGAACATTTTTATGATGAGTTCTTCTTCAAAGTGGGGCAATAAAATGTTGGCTTTGTACTCCGAAGTCCAGTCACACCTTCAAAGAGTGAGGTTTGGAGAGCCTTTTTTTTTTTTCCAAACACTTTGAAAGAAAATATGCTGCTACCCAGAAGTAGGCAAACCATCCACAAACCAGAACAGTTTTAGTTTTAAACAGACAGCTTTAATATAAAAATCTCTTTTCAAAAGCAGCAGCACTGTGTTACAGTTGTATTACTGTTAAATTAAAGAAACAGTGTCGTGATTGAGGACAGTTTAATAAAATCTTCGAAGTAATTCAAGTCCATCTTCTGTACATTTTATCTCATCAGAATTCACCAAGATCAGTTTATTTTCTGTTCATTACCACCATTTCTCAAAGAAAACACAGTTCCTATGAACACCGGAGTTGTACAGCAGTTGGGAAATGGATTCTATCATTGGAGGTGGACCACAAATGTACCACAAAGTATCCTTGGATACATGTTTTTCTAGATCCTTTTCAGATATTCTTCCCTCTGACAAAAAAAAAAGAAAAAAAAGAAAAAGGAAAAAAAGTAGGAAATGAGAACAGAAATACTTACTCATGTAATTTCAAAAAGAGTGAGCAGTTAGAGGTATTGCAAGTGCTCATTTCCTACAAGTGTCAGACCTAGTTAAGGATAACAGGTAAGTTTTGAGGCTTACAGAACAATTTGTTTTCCTGGGATTTAGAGCCCTACTTCCAGCTGGAATGCATAGGGTATTAGTCACTGACCATGGCTAACATACAACTAAAAATCCAGATGAAAACAACAGATAATTATCTCAAAGACAAGTACAACAGAAATGGAAATGTGATGAAGAGCCTCTTGCAAACAGTCATCTCATCCTTCAT